GACAAGGATGTCATGTGAGACATCACACTCCCTGCCATCCTCAGGCTCTGGGGCTTTGGCTGCAGCTGCTAGTTTGTACTGGGACATGGCCAGGGGTTCCAGTTTGTACTGGGACAGGACCTAGTTTGTACTGGGAGGAGGCCAAGGGGATCCAGTTTGTATCATAGAGCAATGAAGAAAAAATGTTGAGCATTTTGTTTAAAGCTACTGAAAAAAAAATAAAAGTAGGAGACACAATAGGGAAAAGTACTGATATTCATATAAAAAAAAAGTTTAAAAGATGCACTGACATTTAGATTTAGCATTTAAACTCCAAATAAGGGACACTCAAAACTATCTTTAAAGATCAAACACAACCAGTATGTAGCTGTAGACCTTGAGTATCAGCCAAAGTTGCATTACTTTCAATCACAAAAGCAAAATGCTCACATTTTCTGAGACGAGCATGTTATACATTAAAAATTGAAGTATGATGTTAATTACGAAAGAAATTGAGTTTGAAGTTTAGGGGAAAAAATATGAAACAATGAAAGCAAGTAGGCTTTTACCTAGAGAGTTTGGAAGAGTAATAATAAATTCAGAGAAATAATCATGGCAGATGAACACAAGCTTTAATTTTTATCAAATTGCAGTGTTTTGCCGGAATGAGAACGTTGTTACGTAACTGCAGTGTTGTATTTTGAAGTGAGGCTGCAGGGAAGAATTAGAAGGAGAAAGCAGATTTATTCTCAACAAGGTGACAGGGGAGGTGACAACAGGGAGGCACTGCTGGCTGCAGCATATAAACCGCAACAGATTAAATCTTCTGTGGGCTTGCAAGGTCATGTGCAAGGAAATGTAGGCTGAGGAACCTGTGGGTGCTCAGAGTGCAATCTCTCAGCAGCAGCAGCAGGCCGTGGGTGTAAACAGGCAGCTACAGTGCTAGAGCCGCCTCCTCCTCCAGTGGAAAACCAGGAGTGGGCTTTCCAGGGGCTCCCTCCCAAACACATCCAGACTACAAACACGCAATCCCCGGCTGGGTTCTGGCTGTCAGCCTGCACACTTTTAAACTTCTGTACGGTCACCCAGAAGGAAAAAATGTGGAAATCGAATCACGCTCTATGAACAACAGGAGCAGTTGGGCTTTTGTTGCATCCAGACTGACCAAGCCTATGCAAATGTATTTGAAAAAGTTGTCTCTCCCCATCTGATTGAGAGCATCTGCCCTAACACAGGTTGGTCTTGTCACAGCCTTCGAATGTGGTTAGTTTCCTTATTATCGTTGGCCGATAATTTTTTAGTGGCAGCTGGTGTAATTTTTTCTATCTGTCCCTTAAACCCAGTGTCTAGTAGGTGGGACATTCACCCATGAAATAACATATCTTCTCCTTCCTGACGGGTACAACCCTGTACCTGTTACTACCCAGGAGAGCACCCTAGGCACTGTCCAAGAGTTTCTGATGCTGTGATACACTAATTCAGGAAGCTGATGAATCAGGCAAAGCAGGTACCAACTAAGATTTCACAACTGCTCAGAATACTGCCACACTAGGGAACTACAGGATCACGTAATGTTTACACACCTGTATAAACTCAACAGAAGATAACGAGAATGACTTAAACCATTAGGGTATTGTCAAAAAACTTGAAAAATTTGGAAATAAAATCCTATAGGGTAGATGGGAGTTCTGGAGTCTGAGATGCTGGGCAATTGCATTTAAAAATGACAATTAAAACATCAGGTATTAGACACAAGCACCATCATCAGATTTACAGGCTCTCTCTTCCTCAATTAACACCACTCGGTTTTTTACTTGGGCTGACAATACTAAAATTCAAAATTCCATTTCTGCCAAAGTAATGATTAGCTGAAAACAGTTCAGATTTAGTCCCTATACTTTCCTCAAACCATATTAAAACATTGTGAAAACTGATGGCAATGGAAACATTTCCGTTACATATCAGAAAGAACCACCACTTCATAACCAAATTCACTGAAGTCACTGGCATGCAAATTCTATTTTGACACTGACTAGTTAGTTAAAAACACCTGTACTAGCAAGTAGACAACATATGCGCTAACATATTTGTACTGGGAAAGTAATGATATATTCTTATACTTACTGTTGATGTGAAGAGCAAACTCGAGTAAGCTTTTCCAGCTCTTCACCACTCAGTTCTTTAGCTGAATTCCTCAGTGTTGTAACTGGACTAGGAACTGCTGCTTTCCATTTTCTTTCTAAATTAAATAAAAATAATTTTCAGCCAAAGTATTATAAAAGCAGTATTTGCTTAACATAAAACTTATTAATGTGAAAACTTATTAATGGAGAAATATTGACAACTCTTCTGTGTACGCTCCACAATCTTGTTTCAGACTGTGCAAGAAAAGCATTGTATTTTTTCACAACATACTATTTTCATCACATCAGATTTGCAACCCTAAACCAAAAATAAGATCAGAACAACTGTGGATCAGTCAAAGTCTCCATTAATAGAATAAAGAGTGACAAACTATTTGCAACTTTTTCATGAATGCCAACCGTATCCTGGGCTGTATCCAGAGAGGTGTGGCCAGCAGGTCGAGGGAGGGGATTCTGCCCCTGTACTCTGCTCTTGTGAGACCCCACCTGGAGTGCTGCGTCCAGCTGTGGAGCCCTCAATATCAGAAGGATATTGACCACTTGGAGCGAGTCCAGAGGAGGGCCACGAAGATGATCAGAGGGCTGGAGCACCTCTCCTATGACGAAAGGCTGCGAGAACTGGGCTTGTTCAGCCTGGAGAAGAGGAGGCTCCGAGGAGACCTCATTGCAGCTTTCCAGTATCTGAAGGGGGCCTACAAGGGTGCTGGGAGAGGACTTTTTACAAGAGCCTGTAGTGATAGGACAAGGGGTAATGGGTATAAATTGAAATCAGGGAGGTTTAGATTAGATGTCAGGAAGAAATTCTTCCCAGAGAGGGTGGTGAGGCACTGGAACAGGTTGCCCAGAGAAGCTGTGGATGCCCCATCCCTGGAAGTGTTCAAGGCCAGGCTGGATGAGGCTTTGAGCAACCTGGTCTAGTGGAAGGGGTCCCTGCCCATGGCAGGGGGGGTGGAACTAGATGATCTTTAAGGTCCCTTTCAACCCTAACCATTCTATGATTCTATGAAATGTGAGAGAAGAAATCTGAAGCAGGAATACCTTTTTCACAACAAGCTCAGAGAAATTCTGATATAAATACCGCTTTTGCTATATAACATTTTAAAAATGACAAGAAGTATGCTCTATTATTTAGAAATACAAAACCAATTAACTGTTCTTTCTGCTGTTCTAGCTTAGCCTGTACTCACCCCACTGCTGCTGTATGGAAGAAAGATTTGCAAGCAGCTGCTCATGATACAGTCGTTCAAGCTGAATGAACTTCATTGCCTTCTCGTCTGAATGGGCGGTTAAAGAAAAATGCACACACATATGGACATGTTATAACTTATTTGTATTTGGCACCATATTTGAAAGGGATATCATTATGCACCTGAAATTTGACATAAATGAATCAAAATGAATAATGACTAGCACCCAGATTTCTGTGCAAGGAAGAAAATAATAGCAGACGTGAAAACAGCAAGCAAAAAGTAAAACAAGTTGAGAAAACTTCCAAAAATGAAAACCCTGTTCTCTTCAGCAGTTACCTTTTCCCACATGCCTTAAGTCCAACAGAAGTTTTTCTAGAACATAAACAAGCAAAGTATTATTATGCTGACAACCCATCAGAAAATGAAATCTCTGGGAAATCAAAGGCAAAACAATTGTACAAATATAAGCATGTATCTCTCAAGAAACATAATTATATGTCAATAACCATAACTAACTGGAAATGCTTCGTCTCCTTTCTATCAACCAGCTGGAGCCAGTATTTAAAAATTTTCCCCAACTCAAACTTTCAAAAAGATACCCTTCCCCATTTCAGCCATTGTACACAACACCGTTGGACAGCTGAGTTCACCTTTCGTCTTCTTTCTGAAGCTTCTGCTTTCTTTTCTTCTCTTCCCTTAGGGTTATCAATATATTCACAAAGGTATACTGATAGTTATATATTTTGTCATACTCAGAATAATTCTAGTTCCACAAGCCCGAGTTGTCAGTTGTTGTTTAAAGCCATGTTTTGCCAGCGATTTGAAATTTAATTTTACAGCACAATGAGAACATAAGTACAGCGAACAAGGTTCTTAGTAATATAGAAAAAATATTTTACATTATCATACTCATTAAATACTGGAGTAATTATACACAACCAGTACTTGTTATTCTTGTTAACTTCATTCAACATACACCTAGCATGGCTAATGAACAATATTAATGGAAAGAATATTCCTTGCCTTCAAGAAATCTGGTATTAGAAACAGAATTACAGATCAGAGAGATAGCCGTAGAGGATCACAGCAACAAACCCTGAATTATTGTTAATATGAAGTTCTACACTGGACGAATTAAAATGCCTGTCATGGATAATTAATACAGTGCAACATGATCAAGTAAGTTCTTTATTAACCTCAGGAAACTGATGGTTGCAAGTACAGAGGAGATATCCTTCATAAATATGTATTATATAGCGGTGTTGAATTCCACACATCAGGTGTACATTGCATTAAAAATATTTCCTTTGACCAGCTTTAAATACAGCACCCTTCGATTAAAGCAACTTCTATGGAAGAAAAACTGTCTATCATACTGTTGAATGCATTTTAAAATTTACTCTATTTCCCCCTGCAGAGCTATAATTTACTACAGAATTTTTCCATGCCTTTAATTTGTGCTCTATATTTTGGATTTTCTGATGGATGCTTTTGAATTAGGATGACTAAGACAGAAGTACAGTCTTCTACGACAGTGATGGATATTTTATGTATTACTTTTATAATATTGCTAGACTTATTTCTCTGGGTTTGTACTGCAGGCTAATATAATTTGGCTAAGTTCCAAGGATACCTTTCCAGGTTTCTTATGCTTTGTTATTTAACCATTACAATTGCCTATTTGCTGTATTCTGTTTGTAACAAATTACATAATAAAGAAATAAGCTGTATGCACAGATTCTGTAATTTATGACTCACCTTAGTGAATCACATACACCTTAAGGGCTTACCACTCTTGCCTCTTCTTTTTACAGTCTGATCATTTTCCCTTAAAAGCAAAAGATGAAAACTCAGTCCACCTTTTCTAAAAATATAATTTTGCTTTAAGGTTTAATATGATTATTCTCCCCCACAATTACTGAAATGTATTGGAGTAATTAGCAGCAGTTCAACTATTATAACTTTTTGACCAAAATTATTTGTATTATCTAGGAACAAATCAAAATAAACTGAACCACTGTACTAGCTGTTCCCAGAAGCAATTGCCCATATTTTCCTACAACAGTTTCTCAAACTACTCTGATACAATTTTGACTAATTAGCGTGTGCAGAACAACATGTTGCTATTGTTTGGAGGTTGCTGATCTCTGTTAGCTCAGTCTGTTTGGTATTTTTATTCTAATCTAGACACTTGTAGGACATATTCTAATCAACTGTTGTGATAATTTTATTCTTAATACAACAGTGCCCCATTTCGTATAACAGAATACATACCTTATCTTGATGGGACGTATTCCCAGTTACTAATACTTAGAACAGAACTTATCCTATAAAAACAGACGTTGTTTGAAAACATTTTCCTACTTTATTGTTTGTGCACAGCTACTAATGATTGTATCAGTACAGCTTTTGGAAGTGGATTTATAACCTAACTCTTATTCCATCTGTCTGATTAAGAAGGACTTGCAAACATAGTGTACATTTACTCATGGGTAAATTATGGCTGTTCACTTCTTCCTAACCCTGACCTACAACCTGTGAGTCAATGGTAAAGCATTTGTCTTCTGTGTTTCATCACGCCAACTTATTTTACTATCACGTAACAATTTCTACAAGTAAAAGGATACATTCCTCCTCTTGAAAATAGGTCTCAGCTATCTGTCAAAGTAAAAAAAAAAAAAAAAAGGAAAAGAAAAATTAGGATTCTATAATTTTCATTATAAAATAGATATATATAGGTAAATATAAAGTGAACTTTTTATTATTATTGTTTTAAACATCTGCTTTGCAGGTTTGTATTTAGCTTGGGTAAAATACAACGTCAGAATAAATGCATGTATTCTTATTCTAGGAAAGATGTTTAAAAAGAATATCAAACCACACAGAAATACTAAGTCTTCTCACACAAATGGATTTGCTCAAATGTTAGTTGGGTTTTATTTTGTTACAACAAAAAAATGTTGCGGAAACTTTTTTAATGAACATATTGGGAAGTTTAAAATGGCCTAGAACAAAATTATTGTGTTTACTGATACGAGTTGAAGAGTTTGAATTCTGTTAGTGACCACTGTTTCCTTATGTTTGACCAAACTGAGACCATTGCTGAGCTCCCCCGAGCATTACAGTGCAATTAGATAAAATGGAGTAATGGAGGGTTCCTGACTGATGAGAAAAGAATAATCTTGGAAAAAAAGACACTGAAAGTATCACCTATTACAGCATCAGATATGCCAATGACCTTCCTATTTATGCCCTATTTACAATAATTACTTGCAAGAAATATTTCAAATACATAGAAATATGTACAATATGAATATTTGAAATTAATAAGGTAAACATAAAAGGACTCAAGTTCTTAGGTTTTTTCTGTGTTACTACTAGTCTACCTGCAGAAGGCAGACAATACCACTGCAGCAGCCTTCTGCCACTTCCTTTCCTGAAGCTGCTTGGCTGTGTTAAAAAGATTTAAAGATCCTCTACTTCATGTGTCAGTTCACTAAGCCTAACATCTTGATATGTGAAGCTCTTCAACAATAGAGCAAGACATGGAGCTAAGCCAGAGAGCAGTTCTTTGATTTGCACTGTAGTTGTTATGACATGAAACAAATTTGTGGCTCTTCCTCCGTAGGCTGACATTTCTAAAACAGAACAATGAAAACTGGATTTGTAACAAGACAGCTCTGTCAAGGATGACCATTAAAAGAAAAACCCTAAAAATCACAATTCTTCAAGACTTCTTCTTTTAGATGGATGTTGAGTTAATACAGATATGTCAAACCAAAGAAATACCAGGGCGTAGACACAAGAAATAAGCAAACATAACCTGTTGAATTTACAGCTCCAAGTGCTAAGGAGGCTTAATATAGAGAACAAAATTCATTCCAAAGCAGTTACTGAAGACCAGGAAAGTCAGACGTAAGACAGACTACATATAAAATACTTGAATACCTAGTCAACCTTCAGCACTTGTAGCTTAACAAAATGTGTATGCTGACATTAAATGCTGCTGTAACAGCTGTTGCCTTGGCCAGCAGCTAGGAATTGAACAAGGGATCTCTATACCTAAGCATTCCAGATGTCTAGATGCAACGTCTTAAAAAGCAACTTCACCCTAGCTGGGTAATTTTATAACACCTATCTTTAAGAGGTCACTGCCAAAAGGAACAGTAAATGTATGCTCACCGAGGATTTATACACAGAAGCTGTGTATAAACCACGAATATGGGCATGCAAACAGAAGAGAAAATGATGTTCTGCTATACCAAGTTATTGCTATGTCAAAGCTACATATTGTAATTGCAGATTACTGGAATAGATTTACTATCCTTTTCCTAGTGATGCTTTTGCTTTCAAACAGCTATTTCAAAGCCAAAATTACAAGCAAAACTTCCAGAAAAAAAGTAAAAATGCCTGTTAGAAAAAAATACGTTCTCTGTTAATCAAGTAAAAGTTTCTTTTTGTTTGGGTTTCTTTGGTTTTGTTCCCCTCCCCACAAAACACACAAACAGGCATAAAGATTATTTCTTGGACCAAAAGGGCAAAGACACCATTGTATTAAAGTCCACGCAAGCAGCTCTGAGAACTCAAGTATCCACAGACAAACATAAAACAGGCATGTTTCTAATTAGAATCAGAATTTCACCAACTCTTGAGTTGGTGGTAGGGGGTATTATAGAAAAGACAGAGTTGATACCTGGAAAGGAAAAGGCATAACACTGGGTAGAAAATCTAATTTGGTAACCAAAACATATTTCTTCCAATTCCTCCCTGTAGACTACTAATATTTGAGATTTGCAATAACAAGTTATTTGTGCTTGCTAGAAAACTGGGCAAGCTTTCCTAGAAAGCTGATGAATATTGATGGCTTGGTTTACAAATGCAATAAAATACAAAAAATACAAACTTTAGAAGTAAAAATATTTTGTTACACAGAACTACACCGTATCAGTGACCTTTACAAGCATTAAATAATTAATCTTCAGGGACAGCCTATTTGACATGCATGGTGAGGCAAGGGCCATGCTTGCAAAATGTTTCTAGTAATTGTGGGCACCCTGATAGCTGAACAGGCTGAGACACCTCATAGCTGGCGCTCCAACGACTTCCCTGGAGGCACACAGGCTCAATCTTCAGGGCATATCAATTCAGACACTCAATTTGAAGGGTTTCACAAGCGGGCACTCTGTAAAAGTCTGAAGACGACTACTCAAAACAGACCGCAACTTGATAGAGGAGTCTAGATTACAAGCTGCATATTCCTGTATTTGGTTTGTGTGGAAGGATTTTGGTAGCCAGGGAAGGGGCTACAGGGATGGCTTCTGCGAGAAGCTGCTAGAAGCTTCTCTGGTTAACACCGGACCTACTCGTCGGTGGTCCCCCCGGCCCCTGCCTCTGGTCACAGCAGAGCCAGTCAGTGCCTCTGCGAGCAACATATTTAAGAGGGGAAAACAAAGGAACCTGGAGTGAAGAGTGGGATGTGAGAAGGACAGACAGGTTGGCATGTGGGTCAGTGCAGAGAGGAGGGGAGGAGGTGGCTGGAGCAAGGGTTCCCATCAGCCCGTGGTGAGAGGGCAGGCTGTGGCCCTGCAGCCATGGAGGGTCACGGGGGAGCAGAGACCCCCCTGTACCCTGAGGAGGGCCCCACACCAGGGCAGGCAGTTGCACCTGGACTCTGCGGACCTGTGACGCCATGGGAAGGCAATGCTGGAGCAGGCTGCTCCTGAAGGCCTGCACCCCACCAGGAGGGACCCATGCTGGAGCAGTCCGTGGAGAACTGCAGCCCATGGGAAAGACTAATGTCAGAGAAGCTGGTGGAGGACTGTCTCCCGTGGGAGGGAACGCACACTGGAGCAGGGGCAGCGTGTGAGGATCCCTCCGCCTGAGGGGGAAAGAGCAGCAGAGACAAGGTGTGATGGGCTGACCACACCCCCCACCATTCCTCATTCCCCTGTGCCACTTGGGGGGAGGAGGGAGAGAAATAAATGATGAGTCTGGGAAGAGAGGAAGGGCAGGGGAAGGTTTTTGGATCTGATTTGGTTTGTAACTAATTATATTGATTTTTCTTCCCCACGTCGAGTCTGTGTGGCCCGTGACCATAATTGGTGAGTGATCCCTCCCTGTCCTTGTCTTGATCCACGAGCCTTTCCTTGTATTTTCTCCTCTCCATCCCACCACGGGGAGGAGTGAGCAACTGGCTGTGTGGGGCTCACTTACCGGCCAGGGTTAAACCATGACATCCTGACTCTCAGCCTTATTACTAACTGCTAGACCAATCTGAGCCCAGTAACTCCAAAACAGAATTGTGACTGATTCTAAGGTTCTTTTTTGCATATTTTGTCTGCTATCCATAACAGTCTCCTAAGGATTTCTAGAGCTGCCAAAACTATCTGTGTTTTATATATGAGTACGTCGCAGATTCTGTAACAAATGCTAAACAAATCACATGAATCCCATTCAAGACAGGAAATCCTATTTTAATTAAAAGTTAAACCTTAGAACAGCCCCTAATATGCCACAGTCTTTAAATATGTAATACAGGATTCCCACTAACAATGTGGATTGTTAGCAGTCTAGAACATCTGACACAGCTCTTCATTTTACACTGAATTTTGTCATACAAAATAAAAAGAGAATGTGATAGAAGAGTATTTGCTAGACTTGTCATGAAAGGAAGTTACTGGCAGACCTGTATTAGCAATCTGAATAGAAGACTGCAGATGACAGGTTAATTTGCTGGAAAAGGAAAAAAAATTATTAATAGACTCACTTTACATGAAAACATGAATGCTATCGTCAAAATCCTTTATTTTTTTTCCCCAGAGTAAAAAGTATGTTATGATCCTTCTAAGTTCTCTTAGCTTTCTTTCAAACGCTCCATTTAAAATGTTTGATATTTCTTAAGAAAGAAGAAATGGTGTTTGATTATGTCTGCATCTGGAAATGCAGATTCTGTTCTCAGTTCTGTCATGTTTCCTGTGTGACTTTCAGAAGGTTATTACCCTTAGGGCTTGGCTTCCTCATCTAAAACGCAGCTGACAGATTTCACCTCCATCATGTTCAATGACACTCCTTAAGTCTGTAAAGCATTTTGAAGTTTTTGCCTTAACTGTGTTGTTTTCCAAAACAGACCTTTGTACTGACTCATTAACAACCACCAAATTCCGCATACCTAAAAGTACAAACGTACATACCTAAAATTACAATCCTAATGCAAAGTTTCAATTAAGCTTTAGAACAATATAAAATATTTTCACTCAAACACAGATTGCAAACAAAAAATTAAAATTATGTCAAATGTAGATTATCTATAATTTGCAATTATAGAGAAACCTCTTTCTCAAATATAATTATTTATATTAAAGAAAATAATTATGCAAGAGTCTTACAGTTTAGAAGGTTAAAATGTCACAATCATCCAATTTTCCACAATAAAGATAATGCAACTAAGTCAAATCAGACACCGTACAGTATCTATATATATAGCCCATATTAGATGCTACAGCCAAACAAAAATCTTGTAGTCTACTGTTAGCTTGACACAGCTAAACTATAAATTAATACTGTGTCAAGCCTTATCAACATATTCATCTTGCATCATAATCTCCAGAAAGAAAAAAGTACTGGCCAGTTAATAAGAGAGACTGATTTTCAAATAACAGTATTTCCTTTGCTCTTACAGGTGTGGCGACTATGCTATAAAAATGTATACACAAAGAAACCTTGAATCTTAGCATTCATGCTAGAAAGATGTCTGTACAGTAAAATATAATTCCAGATTTAAAACGTTACTCAGACATCAGCTGTCTTGTGTCTATACCAGTGTCTTACAAACCATATTTAA